GCTCCCGAGACGAATCGACTGGCTCTCCGTCGTGTCTCGCCATGATTTCTCATTTAGCTTTGATGCCTCCTTGACTCGCTCTGGCGAACACACGCCATCGCTCTCCTCTCGCCATGCTCCACGTAGCATCGACGCTCTCTCCCCCTCTCCGTCTGTATCCCGCGTGCGATGGAATTTAGTTTCAATTATGGTTTGTTATCCCGAGTGACGGATATTTTGACAAGACGGAGGGAAGGAACCCCCTTTTCTCGCTGCGTCACGCTTCCAGCTGAAAGTGTTCCCTGTCCTTCGGAGCGGAGCTATTGTGTCGTGCTCGCTTAATGCTCGGCCTCAGATTTCTCGTTTCGTCCCTCTCTCGCTCACCAAGTTGTATACTTTGCGTCACGTCGGTTCGAAGGATGTATTCGGAGGGAAATGCTTTTCTATCGAAAGTTTCGCGAACGATGCAACGTGCGATATAAAAATTACGCGTTTTTTCCCCTCTTTCTTTCTCTTTTTTTTTTTTTTTTTATTCGTTTGAAGTATCAATCTCGCAACCGAGAGTTTTTATCTGAATTGAATCGAATTGGAGGAAGATAACGTCATTTGCAAGCCCCGGGTAATATTAAATTCCTGCATATTACATTCCTAATAAAGATGGAAATCCAGCCGAAACTAGACACTGATGAAGTACTAATGGTAATGCTAATTGCCTGATATACCCGTGATATACCCAGGCTGGATCTAAAACTGTTCATCAATCACCTCCGTAATAACTCGTATCCGAGCGTTTACCATAATTTCCATACAAACTTATCGGTACGGCTCTCATTGTTTCGCTGGGAATAATGGCGAATAATAGCGTTACGTGAAACAGTGGCAAGACTTAACGGAGTATAAACGATCCGTATACTCGTTAAAAAGACCATTGAATACGTCGAATGCATCGTCGCAAAGGCAAATATTTGCAACTCGTGATAGAACGGTTGGTTTTTCATTTCACGTGTTCTTTTTAATCGTTTGTCAAGCCTTAATTTTGTACCCAGTGCAAGGACGCCCGCATTTATCGGGCCGTTACGAACGTGTGACTCACGGAGAAAGGATCCTGTTGACAGGCTGGACAGCTTAATTGGTCGAAGCAGTCGGGCACGGGTGAAAGAAAAATTCGAATCCCTGCTCGGAGATCCAATTGGTCGGTGTGTCGGGCCTTCTTCTTTTTACGCAACACCCTCCCGACGTTTGTTTTCGTACGCGATCTGTCACTACAAAAAAGAAGAAAAAAAAGAAAAAGAAAAAGAAATCGCCTCGCGACTTGGGGGAGCAGGATAAAAATTTATGGCAGCTCTTTTTATCACCTTGATGTATTCACAACGCAGCCAAGATGCTTCAAATGAAGTATAAAATATGAATAAATAATCGACGACGCTTGCCATTCAGATCATCGTCTACGTCAAACCAATTCCATTCCCTCGAAGAATATCGCCGTCGTAAACGTCTAAATTCAAGAGGGAGAGATTACTCCTCGATAAAGCAATCCCGCGAGAAGAATTCGAACAAAACGGGCGAGTCCACTGGGCGAGGCGCGCGGCTCCTTACACGCAGAAACGAGAGAAAAAAAACGAAAGAAACGATCCTCTCGCAGTCGCGAGACGTCGGAAGAAAAATCCTGTGGGAAGCATTCTCGTCTCGCCCACATCTCTGAAAAGAAACGGGCGGACGTGACCGCGGAGGATTTGCATGCGAAAGGAGTAAATCATAAGCCAAACAACGCCGGCAGCAGGGCCAGCCCGGTACTCTTGGCAAGGGCGAGGCCTTTAAAACTGATTCATTACCCCGACACGATCTTCCCCCTCTCTGCAACGTTCGGAGTATCCCGCGAAAACGTTCCTTAATGGGAAATTATAGCGCGAATGGACGAGGGAAAGCATCGCCTTCGTCAGAAACGCGGCGCATTCCGTAAGACGAGGACGGTGAATGGTTAGGCGGGGTACGGTGGTCACGTAGAAGGAAGGAGCGCGAAGGTGAGTACGGAATAATAAGCGCAGCTCGTTCCCGCTGCGATCGAGCGCCCCAAGTATCGCGTTTTCGAACGCGATAATTTCCCCGGTCGTGGGGGCCCAGGCCTCTTCTACGGCGCGTCAATAAGCGCTGCACGTTGTTGTTCGACGATTAACGATCGATCGATCGAATCGCGCGTGACCGTGTTCCGGTATAAGGCGTTCGCGCGAGCGAGCGAGTGAATTACGATGGCCAGGCCACGTGGCGATTAATAAGCGAAGAGAAACGTTCGCATTTCCTCTTGGTTTGCAATTTTTTTTACGTTACAGTAAAGGTATACCTCTCCATTTCTTTCTCTCTCAAACAGTTGAGCGAGTAACTCTCAGAAGCAGTATCCATTTGCGAGAAATACTTTGGAGAGCAACTCGCGACAGTTTTACTCTCAAATCGAGAAGCACCACCTTAAGTATGGCGATTGCTCGAGATGTCGGTCGATCTGGAAGAGACAGTAGATAAGAAGGTTGAGCATTATTAATCGCTTTTTCTTCGCGAGCCGACGATGGTTCGAGTCTGGAGAAAGTGACGACGCAGGTGTTGTGGTAATTTATCGCTTCTTTGGAACTTGCGTGGCAAAAAAATGGCTGCGCGGAAGTGAAATTGTGACTCCATTATCCGGCACGTGTCGATTAACTCGAAGGTTTCACGTTCACGTGCTCCCTTTCATATCGAAGGGGTATCTGTAGTAGGCGTGGGTGTTCCGCATGAGTCACGTGTTTCCAAATATCAGGCAGGCATGACATAGGGTGACTGAAGCAAAAAAAAAAAGAAAAAAGAAAAAAAGAAGAAGAAGCGTCGTCCAACGCAAAGTCACCGCGAAAGACTGATTAAAGCCAGCCATTCAGATGTTACGAGCCGACGGCCATGAATATCGGATTCTCGTTCCAGCAGGTTGACCTTTTCTCGTGCTTGAATACTGGCACCGGTAGGGCGCAGCCGCTTTTTATACGTTCCTTCTTCATTAAAACCAGCGGTTGGATGCACGAATGCCACGAGTATTTGACCCCTAGACGACCACGACGACGATCGACCAGGCTACTTGTAGATTTCCAACGTTTAAAAACTGCGGTTTTTTAAGGATCCTCGATCCGCCAAGTCTCGCTCGCAGCGTTTCATTTTAATACCATTGTTCGCGACAAAGCAAGAAACCGTCAGTTACAACCTCTCTGCATGGCTTAGACTCGTCTGTGAATCGGAAGCCAGGCAAGAGAGAAGAAACGCGTCTGTCTTGACTAGTAGACGGTCGCACAATTCGATTCGTCATGAATGATCTCTCTTTCGTTTAAAGAAAGCTACTTTCGCACGGAAATGTGTATTTCACGCGCGTGTCGTTTCGTCTAGCATTTCGTCTCTCGTGCCAATGTGTCGCCGCCATGTTACCGCGTGAAAGTAAAACCTCGCTCCTCGTTCTCTCTCAATCCTTCCATCTTCTTCCGTCGAGGCAGCTCGTTCACGTGGTTCAGGACGCGAGCAGTTTCCCTGATCCTTTCCTCGCGCGTGTCAATCTCCGTTCCGACACGAGCCACACACGTAGGCCTCGCGGCCGAGGCCGAAGAGGAGAAGAGGAACGGAGCAGCATCAGCCAGTCGTTCGTCGCGAGGAAGATGCAACAGTGGCGGGTTTTTGGTTTTATAAATAGCACGCGGGAAACGCGCGCGTCTCGGGGTGCTAGCAGTTAACAAACGGTAAAACTAACACCGCCTCCTACAATAACATTTCGCCCCGGTCACGTGTTTTCCGCGGCCCGACTATTATAAGATCCACCGACGTTGTCGTCGTTCCGTCTTTCCCCCTCTACCCCTTCGTTAACCTTTCCACTCTCGTCGTATTCGCGTCTGTTCCGCTCGCACACGTTTCTTTGCGTTCCTCCACCTTCCTTCTTACCTCCCTTCGTTTCTGTTTCTTCTGCCTTTCCTCGCCGGAGAGATATCCAGAGCCAATGACGCCATGGCGTGCTAATCGAGAGTTCCTTTCTTCTCTCGCACGATAGAGATGGAAGGTTGCGCGAGAGTGTGTATCCCCCATCGTTCATGGGAGCTCTGGCGAAAGATCTAGCCTCGTTGGGACTGCTCGTTGATTTATGCGCAGCCACCTGAACCCGGTGCCCTTCGTGTTCGTTAGGGTCGCAGACGGTCGCGTCTTTCGGTTCTTAACGAACGAGCCGAGATTCGACGGGTGGTTATGCAAATACGAGCATCGGCCGACCAACAGTTTGCGTTATATAACGTTGTGCTAGCTACAACTCTGACCAATGTCTCTTTTTCTGTCTCTCTCCGCCAGCGAGAACCATTTCGTTCTCGGGTTTAATTAGGACCACCGTAAGGATCTCTCGGATCAAACGCGTTTTTTTTTTTTTTTTTGTTCCATCTTGTTCGAGCAAGAAGGAAGGAATGTATTTGGGGGATTATAGTATTTAGGCGAGGTGCACGACGAGCAAAGAACGTGCTTTTGATTTTGTTCAATTAACAATTTATTCCAAAGTAAGATTCGAGTAAATTGAATAAATATTCTTCGATAAAATGAAGTAGATTAGTTTATCAGTATGATCCAACCCCGACTATAAATTGGGCAACAGCGTTCGAGGAAACACGAACGCAACGAAATTGAATGATAATGGAGCGTTAACGACCGTCCATTAACCTAATTGATACGCATACATTGTATGCACCAGCTAAAACATTTCGTGTTTGGCGAGCGCTAGTGACACATGCATTAACGAGAAACGTGCTAAAACATGGGGATTCCGGACTATTTTCGCATTCATTTCGCACCGTGTGTTGAACGAAGAAACCCGTGTGCTTTACTCGCGCCGAGACCGAGCAGTAAAAGTCGAAAAATTGCGCGAACGTGATATTTTAAAAAAACGAAGCATCTCGCTACGTACAGGTTGCTCAAACAGTTTGGAAAAATCTTGAAAAAATTTTTAACCCGTCGATCAGATACTTACGAGTATTAAGGAACAACGCGATATTTTGTGTTGCAGGCCGGAGTGATGCGACCCACGCAAGAGTAAGCTAAACTAGCTTGGAGAATGGGACTCGTTCGACGGACGAAGCTGCTTCCAAGCCGAACGATGGCGTCCCTACTACCATTGCTGCTGCTGGCAGTACTACCAAACGCGCGATTGGAATCAGCAATCAGTCCAGTGAGTAACGTGGGCTCGGTATCGAGCGGTTCTTCGTCGTCCTCTTCTTCTGCCTCCTCGTCGTCGATGGTGGGCGTCGTGCCTGGCAGCGGCTCGGCTTCCGGCAGCATGGTTGGCTCTGGTAACAGCGTGGTCGGTGGTGGAAGCAGCGGCGTTGGACACTCGTCTTTGGGCGGCGGAACTGTTAATGGAAACGGTCGATGCGAGGAGATCACGATCCCGATGTGCCGCGGAATCGGTTACAATCTAACAGCCATGCCGAACGAGCTGAATCACGACAATCAAGAAGAGGCTGGCCTGGAGGTGCATCAGTTTTGGCCGTTGGTCGAGATCAAATGTTCGCCAGATTTGAAGTTCTTCCTCTGTTCGATGTACACCCCGATATGTCTGCCCGAGTACACCAAGCCTCTTCCGGCTTGTAGAAGCGTGTGCGAGAGAGCACGAGCGGGTTGCGCGCCGTTGATGCAGCAGTATGGATTCTCGTGGCCGGAGAGGATGGCTTGCGAGAGGTTGCCGGTATTCGGCGACGTGGACAACTTGTGCATGGACAATCACACGAGCAGCACCGGATACGGATCCGGAACCGGAGGAGGCGCGAGTAGCGCTCCTTTGCCACCAGCGGCCCCGCCACGCCCGACCAGGCCGTCCAAGACGACCCAATCACCTCGGTGCAAGCCAGGCAAAAATCAAAAAAACTGCCAGCATCCCCCGGGGGAAAGGGCGAGGGATTGCGTGTGCCGGTGCAGGGCACCCCTCGTACCCCTGGGGGCGATAAGCGGCAGCAGCACCGGCAACATCGGCAACGGGGCTGGACTGGCAGGCATGGCCGTAAGTGGAGTCATACCGGCGCCACCGATAAGCATCGGCAGAAACATCATCCAGGACATTGCCGGAGTACCGAATTGCGCTCTCCCGTGCCACGGGGCGTTTCTCACCCCCGAAGAGCGAGGGTTCGCGGCCGTCTGGCTGGCCCTGTGGAGTGGCCTCTGCGCCGCAAGCACGCTCGTGACCGTCACAACGTTTCTGATCGACACCCAGCGTTTCAAGTATCCTGAGAGACCGATAGTGTTCCTGTCAGCCTGCTACTTCGCCGTATCGATAGGTTACCTATCGAGGAGCGTGTTCGGCCACGAGGAGATAGCCTGCGACGGGCCGGCGTTGAAGTCGAGGGCCCAGGGCCCGGAAGCCTGCGTAGCCGTCTTCCTGATGATCTACTTCTTCGGCATGGCCTCCTCGGTTTGGTGGGTGATCCTGGCGTTCACGTGGTTCCTGGCGGCAGGGCTGAAATGGGGCAACGAAGCCATAGCCTCGTATTCCCAGTACTTCCACCTGGCGGCTTGGCTGGCACCGGCGGTTCAGACGTTCTCCGCGTATCTGGCCGGTGGAGTGGCAGGGGATCCAGTGGCCGGAGTTTGCACGGTAGCTCCGGACGGAGTGAGATCGTTCATTCTGGTACCGTTGTTCGTGTACCTCCTACTGGGAACGAGCTTCCTTCTGGCAGGATTCGTCAGCTTGTTCAGAATCCGATCGGTGATAAAACGACAACCGGGAGCAAAAGCGGACAAACTGGAGAAACTGATGATACGCATCGGCGTGTTCAGCGTTCTGTACACGCTGCCAGCCGGAGTAGTGTTGGGCTGTCACATGTACGAGACGTCGTTAAGAAACGAGTGGCTCGATTCGCTGGCTTGCCCCTGTCAGCCAAGGGCAAGACCTCTCTACTCCGTCCTGATGCTCAAGTACTTTATGGCTCTCGCGGTAGGCATCACGTCCGGCGTGTGGATCTGGAGCGGCAAAACGGTCGATTCGTGGAAACGTCTGTGGAGGCGCTTGTTCAGCGGAGGAAGCGGCGGAGGCGGTCACGGAGGCGGTGGCGCCGGTATGGTGGCCGGCGTGACCGGCGTCAGCGGAGGAATCGGCAGCACCAGCATCAAGGGCGTCGTAGGACGTGTCGGAGTGCCGTATCCACCGGCACCGGGGCCAGGGAGCGCTCTACTTCCGCCTGGCAGCGTGGCCAGCGCGTCCCAACACCATCTCCACCATCACGTCCTCAAGCAACCTCCCTTGTCGCACGTATGACGTCACCAGTCGGCGGGGGGTGATATGAACACCGCTGGCTGCGAGCAGCAACAACAACAGCAGTCGGTGCAACAGGAGAGGCCTTCCGCCCTTAGTAACTACGGGCCCATTTAGCCCTTCGCCTCGGCCTCGCGCAGGCACACGCCGCACACGGCGCCGCATACGGCGCCACACACGCCACATTCGGCGGCTACGCTATACTCGAGGAGATCGTTGGCGTCGACTACGGGCCCCCTTACGCCAGCACACGGACTCGCACCCTCTTACACTCAGGCCACCGAAGTATGAATCGATTTCCGATAGCAAGTCACTCGTCGCCGGAAGGAAAATGAAGGAAAGAAGGGTGGAAAAAAACGCGAAGGTGGCTCATCGCGACGTGCGTCGAACAACGTCGGTGACTCGCGACGGTGCTTCTCGATTACCCGATATACGTATTAGCCCGTACGTGTCTTTTCCGCCGGTCTCGAGTCGCCATCACTTTTTTTCTACTTCTCCATTTTTCTACTTCTCGTTTTCAATCCCACACGCGTTACATGTGCATTGGTTGATAATTAAAATCGGCAAAATCGCCGATTCGGTGTTGTCAGTGAAGTTTGCGATAATTGGTGGAACAGGTGCCGAACGCGATTTGAATTAACCCGCGGGGACTGGACCCTCGACGCGTCCACGCCAGAGGGCGACAATTCGAAAATGGCGCTCGAGACCGGCAGGTGTAGTGTGATTGTGACGTTTAGTGCGTGGGATCGAATGCGGTGTAACGTATGAGTGAAACATAGCGCGAATGGGAATATCGTCTGACAGAACATTCTTTCTTATTCGTATCTATTTGTAATCTTTCTTACTTACATAGTGTAGCGGAGCTCGTACAGTCCGCATATCCGTCTAACGTGTATCGTCTCGTCTATTTATCTGACTTAGCCATAACAGAAGTATAAGTGTAAAACACGGACTTTCTATAGATGTCGTTACTTAAGTCGTTACGGCGGTGGTCCGGCATTCCAGCCCGCGTGTTTTTTGTAATTTCATACAATTTTAGTCGCTAGTCGAATTCGGTGTAAGCGAGCCGTGTAAGACAGAGAAGGATCGACCCGATCATCCTCGAGCAATGAAAGTACTCGTAATCGCGAATTCAGGCTCACCGCCGTCGATCGTGTCAAAGTACGACGTACAAGTGTATAGCGTAGAGACGTATAAGAAAGGAAAAAGAATGTGGAGAAACGAAGGTAACTGTAAATATTATTCTTAGATGTTAGATAAAATGCTGTAAATACAAAAGAGAAATGGGAGGGAAACGATCATCAAAAAAAAAAAGAAGAAAAAGAAAAAAAAAAAGAAAAAAAAAGATTTATCGGTCAACACGAGATATATCGAATGTACAGGCGCGAGCACATGCGCAGCCATTGCGACGACTGCGCGTTCCTTTTTACGCATTACTCATATATATAGTTGTAGCCCGTGGAACTTTGAAATCCATTTCGAATCTTTCGAAAGGGATTCGATCGTTGACACAACGTAAAGCGGGAATAAAAAGAACTCGTGTCAAACTCTTGGTGCAATGAACAATGGGTATCAAATAACAGTGGGGTATATCGTAAAAAGAAGCTTCGAAGGAGCCGCTAGTCTTGCCACGGGCGAAGGAACGCGTTAATCGTAGCGTGAATGCGTCGAGGGAAAACAAAAAAAAATGATAACGCGTGCTTACGGTATGTATAGATACGTTAAAACATGATTTCGGGTGTCGAACACGTCTTTTTCTTTTTTACCGCCGAACGAAGCCCCCCCTTAACCTTTACCATTTTATATATATATACACACACGCGTCGTGAACGTAGCTGACAAAGGAAAGAAAAGTCGAAGGATATCACGATTCCGAATGACACTAGTTTCTTTTTATCTCGCGTGGCTTTTTGTCTCTAGAGACTTGGAGATTGAGTCATGCACATACGCGCGCGCGCACACACATGCATGCACGCACGCACGCACGCACGCATAATACACATACATTACATCGTCGTACATACTCGCACGTAGAAAAAAGGATAAAAACTTTATACCCCGAGAACAAATTGTAGGAGGAAAAACATCATGGCAATTTATGTACACGTTTACGTGTTTTCTGTGTCTGCGCAATAGACAAGTAGGTGTTAATTGAATGCGAAATCGGATGAACGAGTAAATCGTTAAATATATATATATTACAGATATAAATATAAATATATAAATAAATATATATAAAAATATATATATATATATATATATACATATATATGATCGTAGAAGTGCGTGCGGGACCTCGACGCGAGGATGCACGTACTTCTGCGACGCGATGTCGATATCTTACAATTTTTTCTAATCGCTGGAGGAAAAATGGGGAGAACTAGAAGGAAAAGTACGATTCCCCACGAAACACCCGTTGTCGTTTATAGTTGTTCCTTTCCTGAGGCATCTTGTGCATGCAAAAAAAAAAAGACGTGAGGTGAAAAATTCCTTCGACACTAACGGAGAACGAACGATAAATAATAGAAGAAAAAAAATCTTGGTTATGTGCTTTTTCTATTGCCACTGGTTGGCGCTGGTGTTTCTGGTCGTTGAAATTTCACGATCGACCCGCAAGATGTCTCGCGAGCGGAGCAGGTGGGAATTCGCGCGCGTGTGCACGCATGGGATGGAAACGAAAAAGGTACATATAAGAAACGACGCAAGAATGGGGAAAGAAATAAAAGAACTGAAAAACGATAACTGCCTCAAGCAACTTAAAAAGGAAAAGAACTAAACAAAAAAAAAAAGAAAAAGATAATGCGACTTGTGTATCGCATCCCGGACGGGAACCCCTGCCAAACGAAAACGTACACGTGTAATGTAAAGTAGTGAGAGTAAAGAACCTTTAGTGTCACATATCACGCCAAGCTGTTACGAGCGAAAACGGACAATGTCGCGTTCGTGGACGATCAGTGACGAGAAAGAGAGAGAGAGAGTGAGTGAGAAAGAACATGACGTGAGACGGGATGTGATGATGGTAATGGTGGTGGCGGTCGAGAGAGAGGAAAAAAGAGCGGGAGAATGAGATAGGGTGGAGAAAGAAAGAGTGAAAGAGTGCGCTGCTATCGCGATGGCAGAACGATTGATGCGACGAAAAGAACGAACGCGACGTTAGAGAAACGAGAGGGAGGAGTTTATAACGAGTATTTGTAAGCCACTTTTTGTCACGATGATTGTCAATAAAATGGAAAATACTGTGTGTAACGAGTGTGTCCCGGAATTTCATCCATCGAGTTGGTTATTCCGTTAGGTATGATGATTTTTCTCTTTTTTTTTTCATCTTGCATCTTTTTCTTTCTCTTTTACGCAAAGAGTCGTTTGTAACAGGCGAGTTGTGTGTATTTAAAAGTTCGGAATAGCCGTGTCTCCCTCTTTTTTCTTTTGTACGTTTTCCTCGTTTGGCTTTTACGTTCGTTTTCCTGAAAATACTGTGGATCCTCTGTTTAGTCCATTTCTATGTTCGACCGCCATCTTTTATATACATACAAGTTTTTTACGTTGCCATAGTAGATAACGAGTAACCGACAACCGATGATCATATCGTTATACATACACATATATTGAAATCAAAATTGTATACGATTTTTAATATACTTTATTATTATTTAAGTTCCTTGCGTTCATTGCTTGCGCATCCTGAGTCTTCCTCGATCCTCTCGACTCTTGTGGTTTCCCTTTTCTTTTAGCGATTTCGTTGATAGATTAGAATTTATATCCAACGCACGAAATGCAGGTAAGTTGATCAATTAGTTTGTTATTTCGCAAAATAATAGAATCGTAGACGAAATACTGTAAAATTTGAGAATTCGTGACGTAGAAAATGAAATTAAATCCATACGTAGTTAACTGAGAAGGGAAATAATTCTATCATCGTTGTTTCAGCCTCATGCTTTCAAGTACTAATTCAAAGCAAACAGATTCTATTTTTTTGTTTATTTAGCATACAGTTTTTTAAAAGTAAAGTTTTCGGAGGTATGTATTTATATTTCATTTCAAAGGACACTCTAGTCATAATTATTTGACGTTGTGTAAATATTTCGTCCTTTAAATCATGGTTGAATATAAACAGGGGTTCCGGAAGCGCGCACTTCAGTTTGTACAAAACAAAAAAGGCCCCTCCTGTTTAAGAGGTTCGAACAAGTGGCTACATTCTTCTGTCTGGCAATGACACAAAGTAACCCGACCAGAGGATGACGCCGTGGAAAGAATTCAAACACGAATGATAGTTTCACATGCTTCTGTTCACGCAAATATTCTAACGAACATTAAGAAAGAATATTCAACTGATGATAACGATAATAATAATCCGCGAATTTAATTTCAGCGAGTTCTCCAAACTGAAAATCCTTTAAAACATACGAAGATATCTCTGGAGATTGTTCCACAGGAGACTGTCGACAGATTGTTTATAACATCCCCAAGTTCCAACCGGGCTGCTGGAAATTAATGTAAACGCAGACGGTTCGTCTCGTCTGTCCTCGAGAGAGAACGTCCGACTATTTACACGTCGTTACGAATCGGTCCGGTGAAAATCGCCGTTTAACCCGGAACCTAAGTAAACCCACCCTTATTCCGTGAGTCATTGCCCAACATCAGTCAGGCACCAGCGGCAAATACAACCCCGCCGTCGTCGAATTTATGCTACGTCGGTGCTGTCGAATATCGCCTCCATAAACAAACCGTATTAACCGTGCACAGACAGTTTACCACCCTCGTTGCTCCGGAAGATAAGGATCTCCGTTAGTCATTCACTCGTTAAGTTAACTGGCCACGCGTTGCGTTGATTTCCCTAATTGAAGCTTACGATGCGCCTTGCCACGGCAAGGATTGTCGCGCGATCATCGCCATCTTGTCGGCGACTCGCGTGTCGTGCGAACGTTCAATCGCTGCGCTATCCTTTGGCTAATTAGCCGAGCGTCACGTTTGTCGCGTCCAGTTGCAGATCAGGGTAATTTAGTTAAGCTGTTTGTTGGCTGTTGATAGCATTCCCGCAATTTATGCGCGGCATCTGCGTTTGAGTTGTTGTCTCGCCTCGAACATTCAAGTGATGACTAATTGCCAATTGTTTTTGAGTAATTGATAGTATTTCGCGAAACTGCCTTGGGATCTTTTAATTTTGTATTTAGTTTTATTCGTATTTCATACAATTTATTCAATGATATGACGATAAAAGGATTGTGAAACCGAATAGAATTTTAATCTTCGGATAAACTCTTTCAACAGTCCTCGACGAAACGAGAAATACATCTTCGTAGCTTTGACGATCTCCTAAATCGACAGAATGTTGAGGATAATTATATAACACTGACGAAAATAGACGTTCGTGCTTCATTATTTACTGGAAAAACGAGGCACGAGAACGATTTACGAGCAGATTTGCCGAAAGATATCACCGATCGGTAGCGAGCGCTCGTCTCGGTAAACGACGACGACTAATTGCGTCTAAGAAAACTAATTTACGGAGGTGGAAGAAACGATATCCGGCGACGCCCTCTCTGTTTGTCGAGAACGAACGTTTCCCATGCAGCCTGGAAAGGACCTCGAACTTTCTCTAAATCCCTCCCTGACTGTCTAACATTAGATCGTATCGAGACACGCACGCGTTTCTCGTTTCCCGTTTTTCGAATGTACGCGCTCATGTTCATTTCCTCCATGGATCCGGATTAAGCATTTTCTCTAAATTTAGAAATAATGGAAACTTTATTTTCGTTACGGACAAATTTTGGGTAGTACAAGTGAGGAACAGAGAAAATATTGAACTTGAGAGAACGATCCGACGCGTATAAATAGAAAGCCAGTGATAGACTGAATAACTCGTTTTTTATTTTTAATTTTTTTAATTTACGCGCGATCGATTTGAAACCATTCAAAATACTCGACAAAATATTTCTTGGTTAAAGATTAAAATTTAATAACCAAGAAATACTAACAAAAAGTCAGTTCGTGCCAAGACGTTGACGTGCGTTTACGCGTTTCTAGAAAACACAGTGGCGCGTGTAGATGGAGCTTGATGAGAAGAAAATTCAATTTACAGGCTGGTATCTTAATACGCGGAGTTGGTAATTTATGCAGCAATAGATTATCGTCGTGGTAACGATTAATCTCTCTTGAAATGAACGTGAGAGGCGAACCCGACGCTGGGACGACCCTTGACACCGCGATAAGAGATGGTCGTGTGGTAACGTTCATATGCATAAATTGCCTACACGCGCAAATATAATGAGCCTCGCGATAACATGTAATCGGACTTCGAGCTGCTACCTTCACGTTTCTATCTTGTTTTCGTTTCTATCTTGTCCGTTATCGTGCCCCGTAACGAACCGCATTATGATAGAAAAATAACGTCTTTCATACTATCGTAAGTGGTTATAAAAGTCTAAGAATTAACATTTAATCGGAATTCGTGATATTATTCAATTCATTTAACACTGCAGTATAATTTAGTTATTCAGTATAATTTAGTTGAATTGCGTTGAAAACGTTTTACTTTCTAATGTGAAATTACTAAGATGTTACAAGTGAAAAAAAGAACTTGAATTCTTAAATTTTCTATTCATTTTTCATCTCTTTGAAAATCAAGCTTTTTAATTAATGTTAGAATCGGTAGAAGAATGGCTGGCATAACTAACTTGTGGTTGGTCACGATTCGAAGCATGTTCCTTTAAACCGAGTCTACAAACGGAAAGCTAATCAGTCAATAAAACGGGTCGTTTCAGTGACATAATCGGCCGCGACGCCGGTTCCAATTCACCCTAAAATTATTCCTGGACGGATTTACCTCACGTGAGTTCCTCGATGGTCGTAGATCGCGCTTGCACTCGTGAGCGCATCGCTTGCAAGAGGCGCGTATAATGCGCCCGACCGCGGAGGAAGGGTTTTTCGAAGGTCCTCGACTCCATTCAAATTCGATTCCCTTGTACCGTTAATCCTCCTTTGCGATGCCAACAGCTGCGTGTACCGTCGTATACGCAGCTGATCATTAATTATTTGCGGCTATGGATTAACGGGCCAAACGAACACAACTCGATTAATCTCGTCTCTGTCACTCTTCTCGCGATTCGTCGACACTTCTGGGAAATAAATCGAGAAGAGAGAATGTTCAGTAAATGCAAGCAGGCTTCGTAGTTCTCGGGGGGTGTGAGGATAATGTTGAGCCAGTGAGGATTTTGGGTAGGACAAACGATTCGCCTAGTGGAGAATTATAAAGGATATTTGGAGTAGAGTAAATGAAATATCGAATTGTTCGCTGGAGTGAAATGATATATTAGTCGGTCAGAATTAAATACCAATCTTTTGTAACATCTATAACTCGTCAATAAGGTAGAGAAAGTTGAAAATTCTGCCCCCCCCCTCTCTCTATCTCTTTGTTTTAGAGAAATATTGGATAACGTTTACCTATATTTATTAAGGAGAAAAGCACGTAAAAAAGTATGGCCCAAAAATGTAGGGTGTATATTTACATGGCTACCTATCAGAGGGTGTGTGTCTTGGGTTGATAGCGCTAAAAGCGGTTAATGCATAACGCTTGTCGCTTTTCGATGCTTCAAAATTTCTAGTAAAAGAAGGCAAGGTTTATAAAGAATGTATAAAGAAAATTGGCTCCCCTCCATGGTTTTTCATTTACAATTCTATCATTTTGCGTTTTGTGGAAACGACTGATTGTTCTTTGTATTTAATCCATTATTGCAGATGTCGGTAAAAACTGATTATCTCCTCTTTCTTGCCGTACTGTAGCTATCAGATACGTGTTAGCATATAGTAATTAATCGCATCACTTAAAACACCCTTTTCACCCTTTCATAAGCGGCTAAGAGGCTAAAATTTCGCGTGCTACAAAACAAACAGACAAAAATCCCCTGGCATCAATAAGCAACGGTATAAATTCCACATACTCGAACGCCTCACGGCTCAGCAAACAAACCCCCTACGCCGTACGTCCGCGTAACATATTTTCCTCGTTTCGCGCTCCAGATTCAGCCCTTGTAACGGGGCTATCGACGCTCAATTAAAGATCACCCCATGCTCATGGCAGCGCGCGTGTACCGTATCAGGGCGACGAAACGAGGCGGCTCCCGGATAATAGCCGTCTCGTAAAGCCTCGTGGCCGCTGTTGAAACAATATTTTCACAAGGGCGGCTGTCCATGGTACGTCGTAAGCTCGCGATACTGTTGTTTTTCAACGAAGCTGATCCGCCGTGAATCGTGAACTCCGTCTGTCGGTCATTGACGCCGTAGTTGGAACGCGTTGCCAGGAATTTGACGGAAGTCTAACTTTTTTCACTTCTTGTTTCTCTTTGTTAATTTCGAATTAATAATTAGGGGAAGATTTAGTAAAAATATAATTGGAAAAGTCTTTTGTATAAAAATCGATTTGTACACATCGATTCGCGGAAATTACACTGCGTGCCTGGAGATCGGTAGATCTCACTGTCGTGTCAAATATAGAGTCGACAGAAGGCGATAAAAATCTGTATACCCAAGGCCTGTCTTGCGCGATATCGCGACCGGAAGTTTCGACCGAAGATAGTTTTCGTCGCAGTCGATCGATCGCGGTCAAGCTGAATCGTCGAGTGTAGTCAGAGTGAGAATACAAAATACTTCTAGAGGTA